GAAGCTGGATCGCTCATTAGGAGTGGAAGGAGCTGTGGCCCCGCTTATCGGCTGGAGGTTGCGCGCGTCCGTCAAGCGGGCCGTATCGTCGTAGGTGGGGGAGAAGTAGTCGTGGTCTTCCGAGGTAGATCTGTCGACGTATGGTTCGTGCCCATAGGGAGTGTGTGTGTAGGACATGGACGATGCCGGCGTCGGTATTGGCGGCGATGTGTCGCCCTGGAACTCCATGCCCATGCCAAATCCAATGGCCGCCTGGAATGCGCCCGCGTCCAAGGGCGAGCCAGGCTCTTCGTCGTCCACGACCCTTCGGATGCCATTATGCGAAGGGGGCAGATTGGTGTTTATGTGCGGCGGTGCGAATCGCGTAGGGCTGGGCGACACCTCTACGATGGGCGAGTACTGAGAGTCGCGGAAATGTCCCCCTGTGGCTATCGCGCCGGTCTGTCTGAGCAGATTGCGCCCGCGGTCGCTGAGCGTCCGCCGGTGTTCTTGCGACGCATCTTCTTCGAAGCCGTCGGGTGGGCGATTGAGGTCTTGCAGAGGTATTGATTGGTGGGGGTGACTTCGGCCGTGGTTGGGATCCGGGTAGGACATCGGGACGTCCTGTCTGATATGCGGCGTTCAACCCAGCATCTGAACCAACTAGCTCTCCCAGAATGCTATTGCGCGATCATGCAGGCGTCAAAACAAACGTAAGCGAGTGTCGTAGCGTAGAGAGAGCGTGGCAGCGATGGCGAGAGCGGTAGGTGGCGCGTAGCAGTCCAAAGGGCGCGTGTGGTGTGTTTGGTGGGAAAGAGTTGGTTGAAATGCGGGATGGATGCCGATTCCCAAGCACGGACAAGGGTGTAGTGAGCGACCAGGATGCGCGGCTTAGGCTAGGGCTGAGGGTTAATTTTAGTTTAACGTCTACGGTACTTGTCGTGTTTGGCATGTGTCATCGCTATCCTGTAGACGGTGCTGTTACGAAGAACATGAATTTGTTGTGCGATTATGTATACGGCATTTGCTCTCCAAGTTAAAGCGAACCATCATACAGCATAAGTAACCAACACCACCCAGGGATCCGAAACTGCTGACGGCTTACCATACAACGTCTCTGGCCCCTGGCGTGGAATCCTCCGGCAATGAGCCACACTTGGTGGAGCTGTGGCTTGTGCACTTGCGTGAGCCACGCGGCCTTACATCGTCACCTCCTGTCATCATGGCCATGACGATGATAATTTCGGTGGCTTGGTGGAGTCCCAACCGACGGCCGGTCGAATTGTCTATCTTGTCACGCAAGACCGATACTCTTGGAATGCGCATGTCCTGTAAGACGGGTGCATTAAGGTTTATAGGGACTGGTCTTAGTAAGCAGCCTACATTCATGCCATGCACTCGATATGCCATTGCCATTGTTATAGCTCTGCCTGTGTAGTACAAGCAAAGCCGTTGCCTGCATTCTTCGTCATTGTCATGAGTGTTTCGTCTCTGCCAGATTGCATGTGCAAGGCTGGGCCGATGGCGCCTTACCGCTTCGGGCCTCCCCCGGACTCGCCGACAATCGACGCGCGACATTCATCACTCACATCACCAAAAAGGGACATCGGCACTCACATCATCGCCCTACCCACGAGCCCGCCGACACCACGACAGCATTACCCATCGCCATCTCACAACGCGCATCTGATACCCACCATTTCTGGTCTCTACACCATATCCACACGTAACTCACACGCGTCGCCGCACGCGAGGCACCGCAGCCATGCCGTCTCGAAAACGCGCCGCCGACGAAATGGAGGCCGAGGCGCCTGTTGAAGAGCCCAGCACACTGCAGAAACTGCGCAACATGTGGCAATTTGCAAACCTGGCCCAGTACATCAGTCTCTTCGGGGACGCGGTCAAAATCGACAAGGACTTTGACATCGAGGTACATGCCCTTTGCGCCTGGCATCCCAGCCCGGCGCGCATATGTTTTACAAGGACCACGAGCTGACACACGTGCAGGAATTGGAATCCGAATGCCTCCAACCACAGCCATCCGACAAACTCGCACAAATTGGCCTAGCGCTGCTGAAGCACGTATCGTCACACAAGGGCTTGACGTAAGACCTGGCCATTGCGCATAGTCTCGATAGTACTGACATGATGGTAGACCCGAAATCTTCGATGAATACACCCGTCGACAGTATGTCGCGAAAGCGCCCGCTCGAAACCCCTTTGGCGAGGAAGAGGAGCCCAACAAGTTCCACGACTTCGACGTCTTCACCAAAATACGCGTCTTGCAACAACTTTCCGTATGGACGCTCAACAACCCGAACACAATAAGAGAGAAGATTGGAGCGACGGACAGCGAACAGACACTATGGGTAAGCATTACTTGGATTGGTGCAGGGCAACGACTAACATGCCACAGCGTATGGAGCCCACGGGCTGGGACTCGCAGGAACGATCGCTGTTTGTTCTCGACGATAACCGCATGTACCGTATGACCGATCCACCACCTCCTCCCGAACCTACGAAAGCAAAGGCCAAATCCAAGGCAAAGCCCAAGAAATCGAGAGGTTCAAGAGCCAGCAAGCGACAAAAGGCTTCTACCCCCGAACCCGAAGAAGTCGAAGAGGAGGAGCAGGCCAACGACGAGCAACAGTCCCAGGAGGTCGACGACGGTCTCGGCGGCAAGAAGTGGGAGTGCATTTGCGTCACCTTGGAAGACTACCAGGAATACATGAGCAGCATTCGGAAGAGTCGCGACCCCAACGAAAAGGTTCTATACAAGCGACTTCAGGAAGATGTTATGCCCGTCATGGAAGGGTTGGCAGAGGAGCAGGCAAAGAAGCAGGCCCGCAAGATGAAGGAGTTGGAGAACATGCAGAAACTTGCTACAGCGAAGCGCTCGTCCCGAATCTCATCGCGACTCGAGAAACAGAAGGAGGTGGAAGAAGCCGAGGCTGCGGAACGTAGGAGGCAGGAAGAACTTGCGATGGCCAAGGCGGAGCAAGAGAAGCAAAAGAAGATGGAGGAAGCACAAGATTCTCGCAGGATGACTCGTGAGCAACGGCTGAAGGAGCGTGAGACGGCAAAGATTCTGAAAGAAGAGGAGCTGCGTAAATTGCAGGAGAATGAACAGAAGCTGGCCTCAAACAACGCCAGGCTATCAGAGCGACACCTGAAGGCCATGATGAAGAAGCACGAGAGTGATCTCAAGAGGCTTAATGAGGAAGAAGATTGGTTCTTTGATTGCGAGAAGTGCGGCACTTACGGCTCCAATCTGGTGAGTACTACTGCACAACAACCATGCATTCCGCTGACTTTGATAGAATGACAACACTCCACAGATATCCTGTGAGAAGTGCAATGTCTGGCAACATATGAAATGCCATGACATCACAGAAGAACAGGCCGACGATTCGAAGTTTACGTTCGTTTGCACTGCCTGTAAGCGTAAAGAGGGAGATGCGGATGAACCGAAGCTCCCTTCTCTCAAGCTTCGATTGACGTCGCAGTCACCACGAAACCAAGCAGAAGCAAACGGCAATGGCCCCTCTATGTCAACGAACCTATTTGACGCAGTACAACTACCACGGCCGCAAGCCTTCCAGCCCTCCATGCATCCCGCACAGCCATGGGTCGACGGCCCAAGTCTCTCTCCTCGTGGCCAAGCTCTAGGTCCACCAGGCATACAGAGATCGGAAGCTGCCTATGGATCACCCACCAAAGGCGCGAACGGTAGCATGTCATCACCTATACGATCCCACTTCTCATCCCCTGGGCACAGAACTGGTAACGGTCCAACATCGTCACCTCCTCCGTACAACCTCGAACGGATACCGAGCAGCCCAACAAAGAGCTTCCACATGCCACAGCCACAGCAGAACGGCAGCTCTTTCGGCGGTCCTAATCCCTTCAACTCCAACCCATTCGGCCCATCGCAACCCGCAGCACCGCACGTGCGGAGCTTTAGTCGCCCTGCGTCCGCAGCAGGCCCAGGCGGCTCACCAGTAAAGCACTCTCCAGCCGCCTCCCCCCGTCATACCAACGGTCTACCACCAAGCTTCAATTTCAACAGCCCCCACTCCTCGTTCCCACCCAGCTCCGCCAACCGCCCCTCCTTCTCCCCGACCAAGCACAGTTCGCCCGCGCCCCTCCCAGCGAACATGTCCTCCCCGGCCCCAGCACCAATGCGCATAGCTCCCTCACCATCGTCCCAAATGCCCGCGCAGATGCTCCCAGACCCCATCCCCGCGCCCTCAAAACATGACGCCATGCGCCCGGTATCGAGCCACCAAATGTCAGAGACGCCTATCTTCCCGCCTGTCAAGAGCCTGGAACCGCTTTCCAGTCCGACCATCCTTGATCCGCCCGTCAAGAAGTCGAGTCCGGCACCGAACAGGATTCTTGACGTGACAAATGGTTCGAACGGATATGATCATGGAAGCAGTCAATAGAGCTTTGATACGCTGGACCCAGAGTGGAGGTTCTGCACTTTCTCCCATGGCCAAGAGGACAGGCCTCTTGTTTCAGCAAGGCTACGTCAACTTTACTTGCACTATCTTCTTTTTGCCTGCTATCCTCCTTTGTTCTTCTAGCAACTTTCGCGGCGTTTTTTTGGGTATCAAGGGCAACACGTCAACTAGACATTTCATAGCAAGTCTGGCTCAGGTCCATCTCTTGCATAATTAGGGTATATGGGGTGGGAGGGGTTGCGGCATGTCGACGGACAATGGTTTTCTCTGGCAAGAAAGCATTGGTGTGGGTCATGAAAAGACGGTTGCATGCATGGAGTATTTTCACTTGGTTTTGAGCGTGGTTTCTTGTGGCTTATAGCTTGGTTTGGGTTTGGGCGATGGATTGATTGAAAGGCCCTTTTGTATTATTAGATGTACCATTGAGAATGGAAAATTGAGTATATTGTACAGTGAGATTGTTCTGGTTATGTGGTGTGGGGTGGTATGCGAAGGGGTAACCTGTGCAGTTCTTCTCACATTGCGAATGAAAGATACGTCCTATTCTCTCGCTAACTATTCGTCTAAACGATACGACGTGTTCGCTATATCAGTTGGGTTGTAATAAGGCGTCTTCATGGGACACCAATCGTCGTCGCAGTCATGTTCGTCGCTACTCTCATCTTCCTCATCGCCATATAACTCATCCCTCCTCCCGTTCATCTGATTACTGACAATAACCTGCTCAGCCAGTGCCTCAAGGAGCGTGTACCGATCTCCTCCACCATCGCCAACGCCAACCCCCGCACACCCCATCAAACCCTCATACTCACCCCCAAGTTCATCAACAACCGCACGCATCTGCTCACGGCTAACATATTTTCCCACAGCACCCCAATCAGACCCAGGTCTTTCCCCGTCTACTACAGGGAGACCTTTCCAAGCCTGCCGCAGTATCTGCGCACAATAGTGGAAAAACAGATAACACTCCCTCGGTCTACCCTCCCGACTGGAAACAGGAAATCCTACTTTCGACCCGTCGATATTGCGGAGTGCAACTGGCCTACGGGCGTTTGTAAAAGAATTGATATCTTGCATCAGGTCACCCTCCTGATCGGTCTCTCGGTTCTGCGTGAAGATCTTCAGTTTGTATTCTCTTGGTGTGGTATCGTTCCACAATGCTATTTCGGAGGGGGACGTGGGGGAGGAGATGTCGGGGACGATAGCCATGATGCCGCTGTCGAAGCGTGCTCCCATGTAATCGGGTAGGAGTAAGCCGTTGAATGAAGAGAAGAGAGAGGGAGAGGATTCGATATTACCGGGACCGAATAGTGCGGTGGCTAGATCTGGGTTGGACTGAGAGGCGAAAACAGGTAGAGCTTCAAACCGCCGGTAGGCTCCATATTCGTAGGTCCCGGAGAAGATGTTCCAGAGGTAACTCCAGTACATGTGATTATCTTTTTCCCTTGGATCCACTAATCCTTGGTCTGCGATGATGGAGTTTCTGAAACCGTGGGGCGCGAATGTGGCTTCGATGTTGAACCGCGATGGAAGAATGGCGGAAACTGGTATGAGCGATTTCAGTCTTGTGGTCTTCTCGGTCTCGGTTTCTTCAGCTGCAGTAGCAGCGCGTCGCTCGTATATTTTCCCCTTCAGACCCCAAGCCATCATACTCTCCCTGAACAGCCGCGCTTTATCCGTTCTCATGAATTTGACCTCGGGTCCATGGTCGTCGACGTAGAAAGTACGATAGTCGTATTCCGCTCTTTCGAGCTGGTACAAGGATAACGATCGACCCAAAACTGCATAATCCACGGCTTTTTCCCAGTACTCTGCACTGGACATATTTGTGTGGGTTAGTTCTTCCCCCAGACCCTTCATCTTGTCTCTGGCGTTCTCTATCCGCGTGGTGTGCTTTTCTGATTCTTTCTCCCAGGCTTTTGAGATTCTCGAAGAGCGAGACCAAGACGAAGACATAACTGCTCGCGTGCGTGTGACTTCAGATTAAAAGAGGATGTATTAGTCTAGGAGACGGGCTACGAAAGTTGTGCAACTATATTTGGGTAGGAGTGTATGACTCTTTCGTAACGTGGTGGTCGGTACCGAGAAGAACTGGGCATGAACCTGAACCGTGGAACAGATCAATATTTCTGACACTCATCCAGTCTTAGTAACATAGACAGTAATCTCCTGCGACCCTTATGATAATCGAAGACTGAGGGTACATGTCGTGTTCCCCCAGTTGCGCGACGTCATCTTGTTCGCTCTGGGAAGGCAAGAGCCTTGCGCTGGTCAACAAGCCTTCTGGTCATCTCCCTCTTTCTTTGCACAAACAAAGACATCCGCAGCTTCATAGGAGCACGGTGATCCATCAGGATGACTGACTTCGACAAATCTGTGGCGCGGAGAAAGCAATCCGAGGAGGTGACTTCATACAGCAGTGTACGGGTCGTCGACACTGAACCGGGTTATATAACTTTGGCGTAGGCGGTATTTGCAGGCTTGGAAGGCAGCAATCACTCGTATCAATCACTGCGTTAATCAGTACACATCCCCAAATATGACGATTTCTTCATGTAAACCCTAATCCATTCTCAAATTACAACTCCCCAACTACCTTTATGCTACCCAGAAAACGCCCAAACAGCGCCGTTCTCCATACCCAAAAACACCAATGTATGCGAACAATATGCAAACACGCTCAACAGTAGATTGTTACACACAACAGCAGCGGCAGCAGCAAAGAGACACAGTCAAAGCAGCCTCAATCAAGCCTTCAACCTCCTCTCCTCACACCTAACACAAACCGGATCCTGACTCTCACCGCGAAGGAAATACCTCCCGTCTTCAAATGGACCAGAGCAGCACTAGAATTCAAGTTAGCAAAAACGTCACTTCACACGAAGAACATGACTGGGAAGACTTACAACACAAACAAAGCACCCAACATGCCACTCCGCCCCCAGTGCCTTAACCACAGTATCGGTAACCGGTTTCCTACACCCCTTACACTTTGTACTATACCGATGGGTATGACAATTAACACACCAAGCATACCCATCCTTCTCCACAAACGGCGTATTGCTATCAAACGGATCGCCACACTGAGCACAGAAAAAGTGACCAGCATGCCACTCGGCCCCACAAGCGACAATAACCTCGCCTTCAATAGGCGTCTTGCAGCTCTTGCAGCGGGGCGAGAACAGCTCGTGGAAATCGAGGTGGCAGTAGAAGCGGGGCGTTTCGTCAGTGCCGTCGTCGTGCTCGAGGCGCGCCATGGAGTCTGCGGTGGGGTGCGAGGGCAGGTACGGGATGTCGGCGCCGGAGAGGCGGGCGCGGATGCGCGAGACGCGTTCGGCGTGTTTGTTCGAGGGTTCTGGGTAGAAGGCTACGCATTCGAGGTGCTCGCCGCATTGGTAGCAGGCGAAGCATTCCGGGTGGAAGCGCGCGCCGGAGGCGGAGACGATGCGGCCGGCGATGGGGAGGGCACATTGGGCGCAGAGGGCGCCGGTGCGGACGGTGGTTGGGGTCCAGTGGGTGCGAGGGGTGGCTGTGCCGTTGTAGCTGTGAGACTTGTTCTGGGCGTTTGGAACTGGCAGTGGTCGTGTTGACGCGGCTGGTCCGAAGCCTTTGGGTGTGTTGACGTTGATCGAAGGCACTGAAGGGCTGACGTTGATCGAAGGTACATTGCTGTTGCGTCCCCGAGTAGGAGCTGGAGTCTCGTTGACGGATATAGTTGGAATATTGGGGGTCACGTTGATAGATGGTGTAGTCGATCCTCTCCTCAGCGCAGGTGTCTCGCTCACAGAGATGCTGGGTATTGGCGGAGCGTTGCCTCTTGACCCACGGTTTGGCGCTGGTGATTCGCTGACAGATATCGAAGGGACTTCCGGTGTTACAGAGATAGAAGGTGTTGTAGAGCCTCGTCTCAGTGCTGGAGTCTCGCTGACTGATATGCTGGGAATAGGCGGCGTAGCACTCGTTGGCGGAACGTAGGGGCCACGGTTGAACAGATTCTTCTTGGCCGAAATCGACGGGGTCTCAGACACGGAGATGGAAGGAACTGGCGGTGCTGGTGTCGTCCTTGAACGCGCAGGCGCTGAGTCAGACACGTTGATAGTAGGCAGAGGAGCAACAGAAGGACGAGTCGGTATATTGGCTTTCCTTAGCGAGCTGGTGAGCGGCAGAGGTCTTGATGGGGCTGGGGGGTCCTCGTAGATGTTGATGGTAGGTTTATTTTTCAGATTGAACCGTCCAGGTGCGGGTACGGAACTCGATGAGCCATTAGCCTCTGGAGCAACAGGCGGTCTTGGGGTTGTGCTTCGTTCTGGTACGTCCGGTGCGAGGCTGGTTTTAGGCTCGGAAGGAACGTTGATCTCTGGAACTTGCGGTCTTGGGGTGATGTTCCGTTTGGGCACTGTTGGTGCGAGACTGATAGTAGGTACGACAGGCTCAGTTGCGGCGTGCTCCAGTGGCGGTGGGCCAGACTTGGTTGTGTTCAAAGGCTTTGGTGTCAGATCAGGTGCGGCCGATATCTCTTCCTTCATCTCGATCACATTCCAGTTTTTCTCAAAAGAAACGATTGGTCGCCCTGGAGCATCTGAGACCGCGGTAGGAGTAGGCAGCTTCGCACTACGGTCCTTCAGACGAAAGCCTGTAGCAGCACGTAGCTCGTCACTCCTGATCTCCTTGCCATCCTTCATCTTCACCTCCGGAACATTCTCCACGTCCGCCTTGACATCTTCTGCTGGCTTCGTTTCTGCCGAGTTCAGGGTATACGCTGCGTTTCTCGATTGGGTCGGTGGGTTCTTCTGTATCTCGTACCGGTCGAAACGCTTCGTCGCAATGGCAGGATCCGTGCTGGACCTCACCAGTGGGTTCCCCTTGATCGATTGGAAACGCATAAAGGGATTGCGCCGTATGCCTAACGGTAGTTTCTCGGTCTTGGGTGGTTCGGCGGCGGGGGTGGGTTTAGGAGCAGGCGGTGCTTCCTCTTCGGGTTCTTCGTATATATGGTCGTTCGGGTTGGAGAAAAGACTCCCGCTGATGGTTCGACGGGGTCCGCTGCTTCTTCGTCGTTGCTTGAAGTCTGGGAGGTCTGAGATGGCTTTGGCTAATGCTGGTGACTCGCCGTTCTTACCCTTGATAATGCTAAAGCTGCTCTTGGTAGGCGACGCGGTTCCAGCAGCTGATGTATCGGCATCGCCTGCACGGCCGTTGCTCTGCAAGCTGCTACTCCGGCTCCCTGACGCGGCACTCCCCATCGAATGTCGCTTCCGCAATTTAGAATTGGCCCGTTGCAGATCTTGATCCTTCGGCTCGACGCTCCGACTTCTCTGCGGGCTGTTCTTTCTGGCCAGACCCGGGTATGCATACGGTTTGGTCGGACTGGCCGCGGCCGCATGTGGATTGCAATGCTTCCAGACCAATTCGACGGCTTCGTCTCGTGCGGCCTCGAATATCTTGCCCTCCTCCTTTGCAAGTTCCAAGTCCTCCATGGCCACGCGAATAGCCCGTGCCTCGTCCTGCTCTGCCTGGCGCTGTTCCCTCTCGCGGTATTGCACGCTGGGTGTGCGCGATCGTGACGAAGACCGTGATGTCTCCCGCCCGCGTGGTGGCTGCACCAATGGCCTTCCAACATTGGCTACGACTTCATCTAGGCTCGCTTTGGACGTTGTTCGGGTATGCGACTTCGGTTCGTGCGAGGAGGCGGGACGTGCATCGGCGTCGACGACAGGGTCTGTGAACGTGCGCTGTAGAGAGGAGATACCAGTCGAGTCGGACATTCGGTTGTTGGATCTGTTCGACCATGTGTTGAAGTGTGCAGGAGCAGGTCGAGCTCCCGTGGGACGAGCGGGGCGGTTTGTGCGAAGGTCTTGAAGATAGCTCTCTATCAATCGTCAGTATGGCAGGTGTAAAGGCGTCGCTATAGTTCTTACTCATTTGGGACGGCGAATAGTAGGCTCCAGGCCCTGGTGACGCAGCACCTTCCCTCTCTTTCGACGTGAACATTGCGAATATACGTCGGCCTCGGTGTTTACTGCTCTGTTTGCTGTACGATTGTCGGTGCACCAGTCGGGAGTACCAGCTTTTCTGCCCAGAGAAACAGGGATAGAGAACGATATGTGAAGAAGTGAAGATTAATTGTACGACTCGACGCAGCGAAAAAGCGGTGGTGATGTGGTTGCGATGCTGCACGTAGCTTCTCGATCCGGTTGCCCAGCAACTGCAGGTGTGACGCAGACCGCCCCCATCATCCCTGCAAGCCGCATTATCCCCGGATCTTCAGGGTCTTTTCATCGAGAGCATGGCTAAGTATCGATTGCAATCGATGTCGTATGTTAGCTTCAAAAACGACGAGTTCGCCTCGATAATGACATCTGTCAACGCGTTCGCAATTTCGATCCGAGGTGGCTCCGTCGATGTACATGTCTAGCCGCGTGCACGGATCCGGGGGAATGTCACAAGGACCCAGGGTGGTACCTGGGTATGCCAGTTGCAGTGTTGATTTTACATGATAGTATACAACGTTCGTCTATCCGCCCTCTATAATGCGTAGATAGCACTACGTCATCTAAACCGTCGGCAGGCGATTTACCAGAAAGCACGCGAAGCCAATGTGTGCGTGACCTAAAAGTCAAGCCCACCCATGCTATCAGCCCTAACACCAAATCCAATCAAAGCGAAAGTGGGTATCCTGCTAGTTCAATGTACACATCCCCAAACAACGAATCCCATCATACTCCAGCAGCATTCCGTTGATTCTCATGCCCAGGGCCAACTGAATCCCATCCCATCGTGACGCTTTCCAACATCGAGTCCCAGGACGCGTCTGCCATGGGCGTCAGGCCTGTGCCCGCGTTCAAAGCTGCGTATTCCCATTCATTGCCCATTACGAAGCCATCAGTATAAGCTTCATTGCCCATGTTGCCAGGTAGGTTGAAGCCATTTGTAGGAAACGTTCCGCCATTAGCTGCAAGGTCTGGAAAGACGGTGCTAGAGCCTGGCGCTGTCATCTTTGGAGATGCCCGGTATGGGATGTTGTGTTCGAGTGGCTGGCCTGGCGAGTAAGAAGATTGTGATGTTGAGCCACCTCTTGATTGTGAGCTTATTGTTGCGGGGCTAGGCCGGTCGACGTCTCTATCACCTCCGGAGAGGTCCATCTCATTATCGTGGAAAGCGAAACCGCCCGCGGGCGTGAAGGCTTGAGCTGCAGTGGTGCCGAAACCTCCGTTCGACCCAAATTGAGACGGTAAGTAGGCCTGGTTCTGCGCGTTCATGTCGATACTATTGATGGTGTGGAGATGAAATGGCGGACCAGGTATGTTGCTCGAGTATTGCGTATTGGAAGTTGGCGCCGGCGTGATTGGATTGCCGTTTCCAAACGTATTGGCGGCTGTGGCAGGTTGGGGCGGATCGCGGATATTGATCAATGGACTGCAGTTGGTTTGCGGATCAGAACTGATTGAAATGATGGTAGTCTATGCGTTGGGAATTAGCAACTTACTTGGCAGAACCCTGGCTTAGAGCTCTAAGCTGAATCCCAGCCGTATCACTGAGTCCCTGGAGATCCTCTGGGGCTTGACTCACTTTGCGCGTGGACTGTGTGTATGGCTGATGACGCATGCCCTGCAGACCTGCACCCTCTAGATCAAGATCTAACTGGACCAAGAACGACTCTGTGAGTGGGTTCTTCCGTCGAAGAGCTTCCATCGCCTGCAAGAGGAATTGTAGCGAGGAGGTCATCTGTTGATCCTTTGGTCGCGTCTTGAGGTATTGGACGAATACCCTCGCTGCCACGTAAATACAGAAAGATATGAACGGGTTCATCTGCTCAAGTCAGTAAACGCCAATCGTTGGCTGTGACTAAAGACTTACTGAACCAAGGTCCATATGACTGATCATACGCATGATAGAAGCAATCTCTGCTGCTGCTGTTACGCATCGAATTTTGCTTTCATTGCTGACACTTGCTGGTAGCCGGTATTTGTCTGCTTTGAAGATGGCTGCTTGGTGAAGACATATTGCCGACGTATGTATGCACATGTTCGTGAACACTACGTTGGGGTCGGCTATGCCAGTTGGTAGACGAATATTATCCGGCAGACTCAGCGATGTCTGCAGAAGTATGCGCTCGATGTTTCGATGTCGGTTCCAGAAGCCGCCGTTGATATCGTCATCGTTGTCATCTGGCATTGGTCGATGCAAGTGAAGCAGATTACGGCCAAACATCGCAGCTGTCAGGACGATACCGCCGAGTGCTTGAAGGTTTTGCACGCCATTGGGATTCAGGATTTGGTCCAGTGATCCAGTTTCCATCGGTTTACTCTTCTCAAATGCTTCTTCGCTTGCTGGTAAGTTTGTCATGATCTAACACGGTCAGCTCTGCCGAGGTATGAAAGAGAAGTCTGTCCTTACGTCTTTCTCGTCATAGGTCATCGGCCAACCAGTTCCAATACTTGCGTATCGATCAATGCAAAAGGTTAACCAGAACGTTCTCCGCCGTTCCTCGCGCTCGGTCCAATCCTTGGGTGGAGCTAGACATTGTTTCACGTCTAGCCCAACCCCGTCCAAACGATGCAACTGCATCATCTGAGCCAGTCTTGTGCCTCTCCCCGACGACATCCAGGCTCTTGGGAAGTACATCTGTCTGAACTCGTACGTGGCCATCAAAACCCATGTCTGGCAATGCGCAAGGGTGATGGTCGACTCCCCGTGGCCTCGCATCTCATCCATCTGCGCATATTTTCTCGCACGTTGGTAGAAATGTTCTTGTAAGGCCTCATACTTGTCGGTGATGGAAGCGGCTAGGGTCCACATGATGTATCGCAGACAAACCGGCGGGCGCGCTTGAGGAGACAGGTTCAGTGCGGCCATGAACCGTGGTCTGTGTATGACGGGCAGTGTGAGATGGATCTTGGAGAAGTATATTTGATATCTGGAATAGCGTCAGCGCAGCCATCATGCTACGGGCCAGGTTCTGCTCGTACAAATCGTCCATGATTTCTTGGGGAGGTAAAGGTTCCTCGAGCCCAAGCCCTATCATCTCCCACGAGGTCTCCCGCCCCGCGTCGTTCCCTGGTATACCGACACTCTGAAATGGACTTGCGCCAGTAACCCCCGACCGACCGGCCGCTTGAGTGTTGCCTGTTGTGTTGAGCACATCTCCAGAATTCGGCAGCGATTGATTTAGAGTGTTCGCGACGTATGCGGAAGCGGCGTCCTGGCGCGGGGTGTCCTTGCTTGAATCGGTGCTGTCTTGGGTCTTGAGGAGAGTCTCGACTTGCTCTATAGCGCACGAGTCAGTACAACAACCAGCAGAAGTACAGTATGCGCGACTTACGCAGCCGTTGTTCGAGCAGCTTCACGTAGCCGCGCTTGGGTCCACTTTTCTTGCGTACTTCGTCGTATGCGCAGTCGTGGTTCAGACGTTTACAGGTCGAACATGTTGGCCGGGTGCCGTCGCATCGCAACTTCCGCTTCCTACACAGAACACACGCAATCCTCTTGACCTTGCTTGATCCATCCTGTTGCGTTTCCTGGCCGTTGGTAGTGTTCGAGTCTTGCGCTTGCTGGGAGAGGTCGTTGAAGAAGGACTCGTCTGGCGATTCGGATCCGTTGGAAGCCATATTGGCGAATCTTGCTGGTCTTTGGCAGTCCAGGAGGAGTCTTGGATCCACGTTGGCTCAGACGAACCGCCCCCGCGTAAGCACGGCTCAAACGGATGAGGGTCCTCTGTCAAGCCACGATTTCCGTTTGATTGCGAGATCTAAATCGAAGCTACGTCGGCGGTATAACGGTCGCTTGAGTGTCGCTATCGGTGTCGAGACCTCGGAGTTTTGAGTGCGCGAGGATAGGCACCAGCGGTGAATCAGCACTAAGAGCGCGTTGTGCCTCTAAGGTGGGTGTTAGAGTATGATGTTAGAAGTGCATGTGCTATTGGGTATAGAACAGCCCATGGCTGAGCTACGCTCATGTACCTGGTCTCATCTGCAAGGCCGTCCGCGCAATGCGTGTTGCCTTAAGCGTGAGGTGATGTGCAACGTCGAGTATCTGGACTAATTATGGCGGATCTCCCGAGTTCTGGGATTGCCAGCAAGGACCCCTTACCTAGGTACCGCGAATTCGCCGCTACATACACGATTACTGATACATATAGTTTGTCCTCTAGGTCGTGGCAGCTACTCTGGAGCCCACGGTGTTTCTTTGCGTGCCATAATGTGCATGTGGTTGTTTCGTGGCTGCAAGGTCGCGTATGCAGCTTCGCCAGAGCGGCATGGTGGGGCAGTAGTCCAGCCCAAGATGGATCAAAATGCGACCGATCTACGCGCAGCGTCTTGTGTCATCAACCCAAACACGGAAACCAGGTGTCGGCCTGTCGACGGTCACACCAGTAGTAATCATGAATTCACGTACTCAAAGGGTACGCGCAGAGATAAGAAATGGTCAAAGTTAAATAATGATGCCACCTACTGCTCATTCCACGACTTAATGAGCTCGTGGCAGGAGATCTGGTTCTGCCCAGGCCATAGGCAGCCAAGTGATCTATGCATGCCGTGGAAGCCGTGGTCGCGAGATTGCAGAAGAGCCGCAACGTCCAAAGTTCCGACCGCCGAGCTTGGACACTGCTGGCACACGTCAGGATCTCACATGCGACCGAGAGAGTCCCCGAGCACTGATGGCATGTCGCAACATTATTTAATGAGAGCGATATTCGAGCAGATCATGCCGAAATGCTTATGCAGGGAATGCGCGCATGGTAGTGCGATGCGCGTGATGGGGTAATCGGTGAAGCACTGGGGTAGCTGGACTTGTTGAGATCTAGACAGCACTGCTGTTGTGCGAACCTATCGAAAGGCAACTGGGTGAGTACTGATGTATATTGGTAGACGGCATGGCATGCGACTACAGTATATGGTACAGCTCCATCGTGAGCATATAGTACACCGGCGGCCACCCTACCTCGCCCTCCGCTTTCCTTGATTGCGGGGTTTATCTTGGACGAGGAAGGTGTGCTTGTTCCTCTTGTGCCTCGTCTTGTAACCTCCCTTTGCTGGAGTGCCCCACGGACTGACGGGGTGCACGTTACCCTTTGATTTACCACGACCACCACCGTGGGGATGATCAGCTGTGAGATGTTAGAAGACTGCAGCTGAAGTGAATGATCCAAGGACTGACCTGCGTTCATGGCGAGACCACGGACCTCTGGTCGCTTTCCGAGCCACCGTGAACGTCCGGCCTTTCCGAGTGATGTGAAGTGTGATTGCGGGTTGCTGGCAACGCCAATGGTGCAGCATGCGTCTGCGCTGACTTTGCGGATTTCACCGCTCATCAAGCGGATAATAACGTGCTTGATCTCTGAGTTGTTGCCCTTCTCCACCTCCTCCTTGTTCACGATGATGGCGTATGTACCGGCACTGCGGCAGAAGACACCCCCGCCCTTTGTCTTGGTACCAACGTTGTATACCTGCGAACCAAGGGGCACCATGTGGATGGGAAGGCAGTTTCCACGTGCGGCTGTCTTCGCGGCCAGCATACCGGGATCGATACCACCACCCATGCTGTCAATCAGGTCCTTGGGAATACCCGTCCTGTAGCTCTCGACTTCATCGCCCGCCCTCATGCCATCTGCGGCGATGATGTACGACTTCTCTCCGGTAGCGACGCGGGTGATGAGGGCCAGATGCGAGCTCCGGTTGGGGTCGTACTCTATGCGCTCCACCACATGCTTGCCGGGCAGGTATCGCTTGTAGTCGACGATGCGTATCCTCCTCTTGTGGCCACCACCTCTGTGCCTGACCGTGACCCGCCCTGTGTTGTTCCTTCCTCCGAGATGCTGCCCCTTCCGTTCGATGGTGAGCTTCAGGTGCGGTCGTCCCTTCCACAGGTGGTCGTTGACGGGTCGCTTGAGATGGCGCAGACCAGGCGTGCGGGGCTTGTATGTGCGCAGAGGGATAAACTTCTCCTTGCGCGAGCCTTCCTGTTTCAGTACTCCGGCGTCGGCAGCCACGGTAGGCTGTATCGCTGGGGGAGGTTTAAGGTCGACGGCCTGGACCTGTGCGTAGGTGCGGGCAGACAGCAGCGCCCGGCCCAGTCGCGAGGGCTGGAAATGACATATCCGCGGCTGCAGCATATCTGAGAGTGCAGCTGGGGACGCTGGATGCTTCACGCTGGTGCAATGGACGCCGGCTGGATGGCGTGCAGCTGCTCGTCATGTCACGAATAATTCTCAAACCCGCCGCAATTGGCTAGGCCGGGCCGGGGTGGGTCGGGCAGGCAGGGCGCGATGTCCCAGCAACAACGTGTGTCTGCTTCCTACCCACCACAACACGCTCGTCTTCTTCGCCATCTTTACGCTGCACCTGCCAGAACCCCCATCTCACAGCCCAGCTGCTCGCCCGCGACCCATCTTACTGCACGGGCAAAGTTTACGCGTTGGGGCCTGGTGTCATCTCTGGTAAGTCCACTTACGCGCCTGTGGGGCGTGCACTGTTGCCCTCTGCCAGCCTCGAATGCGATTTTGGCGCGTGGGACGTGGAAGCCAAGCTAGCCTGCCCTCGCTCAAAACACACAACATACCTCTCTTCCTACCACAACACACCTTGGTGCACATCTTCTCTCGCCCTCCCCCATCCTCTCCACTCCCTCTCACCATTGATTGCAGCTGGACCGTTACCCTGTCCACTCAATTACCACGCACCGAGCGCTCCAAGGGTTCGTCTCTCTCGCCCGTCACGTCACCGTCGCTGCTGCTCCCCATCGGGCGTGTCACTCCGGCCAGCTTTCGCGAGCATCAACCGTGGTTCTGTATGCAACATCGCTGCATGCACACCGTGGCTCTTGATGCTCCCGCGTTGGCAGCCTCTACGCGCGCTTTTTCAAGCTTCACCGAGCTCTGCTGACACCTCAAAACAGTGTATCAAAACAAGTCCTACAGCCGCCATTCCACTCTCCAGATATACTCAGCACCTGGATACCTCTCTAGCCTTGATCAGCATACATAATATTGCTTGCAATGCCTCCCGCTGTACGTCGTCGCCCTTTCACCTGCTCTCGTGTCGTCCCATCTCCCATCGGCGCGAAGCAACACGTCCATCACGATTCACTCTACTAACGCGTGTTACAGGCTCGATCTCTCAGGCAGCGCGCCGTCACCAACGAGAACGATGAGAACGCGGCCACGACACGCTTGACGCGTGCAAAGGCCGCCAACCTCGGCGCCAACGAGTCTGCTGCCGACGTGCCCAAGAAGACTCTCCAGGCGAAGAAGTCCACTGCTACTCTAGGCGCGAACGGTGCTGCCACGCGTAAGCGTGCTGCCCTCGGTGACGTCAGCAATGTCACCAAGACCGACGGCCTCGGTGCTGTCGCGAAGGATGGAAAGAAGGTCCTGGCCACCAAGGGCGCAGTCTCCAAAGCAGCACAGCCCACCGGCATCAAGAAGCCATCGCGGGCCAACTCGACGCGTTCCATGTTAGAACCCAAGGAGAAGAACCTCGCGTCATCCGAGGTCAAGAAGCGCGGTGCCAGCGGCAACGGTATCGCCGGCCAACCAGCCAAGAAGCGAATGCAAATTACCAAGACCGTCAAGGAAGAGGACCCCGAGGAGGAACTCAAGGAAGAGGATGAAGAGGAGGCCGAGAACGTTGTCCCCGAGGAGAACGTCACTGAGGAGAAGGACACCAAGGCTGCCAACGGCACCAAGAAGGAGCTCGAGCCCATCACAGAGGTCTTCTACAAGGGCCCAGATCTAGACAAGGAGGACGTCGATGACCCATTGATGGTTTCCGAGTATGTTGTTGAGATCTTTGAGTACCTCAAGGAGCTAGAGATTGCGACCATGGCCAACCCGGACTATATGGAGTCCCAGACTGAGCTTGAGTGGAAGATGCGCGGTATTCTCGTCGACTGGTTACTCGAAGTTCACACTCGCTTCCGCCTCCTCCCGGAGACTCTCTTCCTTGCTGTCAACATCATCGACCGCTTCCTCTCAGCCAAGATCGTCCAGCTCGACCGTCTTCAGTTGGTTGGTGTCACCGCCATGTTCATCGCATCCAAGTACGAGGAGGTCCTCTCTCCCCACGTCCAGAACTTCCGTCACGTCGCCGATGATGGCTTCACCGAGGAGGAGATCCTCAGCGCCGAACGTTTCGTCCTCGCTGCCCTCAACTACGACCTCAGCTATCCCAACCCCATGAACTTCCTCCGCCGGATATCAAAGGCCGACAACTACGACATTCAGACCCGCACACTGGGCAAGTACCTCCTCGAGATCGGCTGCCTGGACCACCGCTTCCTCGCCCATCCCCCCAGCCAAGTCGCTGCCGCTGCCATGTACCTTGCCCGCCTCGTCCTCGAGCGTGGCCCTTGGGACGAGACCCTCACACACTACGCCGGCTACAGCGAGGAGGAGATCCAGCCTGTCCTGCAGCTGATGATCGACTACCTCTCCAGCCCTGTCATCCACGAGGCCTTCTTTAAGAAGTATGCTAGCAAGAAGTTCTTGAAGGGTAAGTCATCGCATACTCCATCCACTCTCTCGTTCACAACTAACATTCACCAGCATCCATCGTTCTACGCAAGTGGGCAAAGGACTACGTCGCTGCCTACGGTAACGCGCTCCAAGAAG